ACGTTATCACAAACTTACCATTGACAGAAATAGTCAGCTCTACTGCCTTTCCTTTTGCATTTAAATCTTTATTACAAGCAATTCTTCGGTTCATAAAGAACTTTGTTTTCCTACCTCCACAAGTGCCATCTGTTATTGCCTTGTTTATCTAAAAGTGCTCTTTCCCTTTAAACCTAGCCAAAAAGCCAAATGTGTTGACTGTGAAACACAGTAGACTTTAATAATATGCATTTATGGTGTAATTACTACATTTTCATGTCAATCCATGTTCATATTTACTGCAAAAAAATGCACTGTTACTTTAATTCAGCGCTTGCAGCGCAGCAACAGACTCGGTGCAGAAACGATCTCTGCACTGATGCAGACACACTGCTCGTGGAACGCACTGCCGGACCACAACCGTGTGTGCAGTGTGCACGCTTTATTAATCCGTTAACATGAGCGCGGAAAAAATACGCACAATATACGCACTGCAAACGGAGTATTGTAAACCTGGCATTATGTGTGTGCGCTGTGAGTGTGCATGAGCGCTCAGTCTCCAGGAGAGCGTGCGAGCGCTGAATGGTTAAACACTGGCAAGAATTAAAAAGTAATGCAATTTATAAACTTTAGTGACGATGTGACACTGCCTCGATTGTGCAAGTGACAATTGCTGTTTCAACTGTGCAGCATGCAGACAGCTCGCTTATAGACGCGATGTAGTGATTTGAAGCCATTTGCGTATTTTGAGAGTGAGAGCGCGTGGTGATTCACTCACGCTGTTTGTGAAATTACATCTCACACAAGGTTTTCAAATTACTTTAAGTTATTTAATGAAGAAATATGAAGGTGATTACCTCACATTCAGCATTATAATTATTTTACCCGCACCAGACAGAGACTGAGACAGTGCTGCTGCATGTCGTGCCAAACCTCTCATGGCAGCGTCATCAGCTTGAGATTTGTTTTTTGAGATCAGCCTTTTTAGAGACCGCCGATCAGTCATACCAAAGCAATTATCAGCCAATAGTGATCGGTAACCGATCAATCGGAGCACCCCTACCCTTTAACATATTAACTGAGGCCTGTAGAGTCTGCTGTGTAGTTCTTGGGTTGTTTGCAATTTCTCTGAGCGTTACACAGTCTGATCTTGGAGTGAATTTGCTGGGATGTCCACTCCTGGGTGGATTGGTGTCTGTTTTGAGTGTCTTCCACTTGTGAATTAACTTCTTCACTGTGGAATGAAGGACTTCAAATTGTTTGCAAATGGCTGTATTACCCTTCCCAGATTGATGGCAGTGACAATTGCTACTCTAAGGGTGGGTTGCACCTATAAGGATTAATCTAAAATCTAGATTAAATCAAGGTTTATCTAATAACTCTGTTGCACCAAACTTTAAACCTTGTTTAAAAAATAAACAGGTTTACATTTAAACCATCAACTTGACCCTGGATTTAATTTATATTTAAAATAGATTAACTTTAATCATGTTGCGCCATAACTTTAAACTCAGATTTAAATCTCAATTAGGGTTAAATCAATTAAATCTCATTTTAAATTTACAGTTGAGGAGGTTTAAAGAAAATAAAGTGCACCTACAGTTACAATTTATGTGGCTGATTGAACAAAGACAGAAACAGCGGGTGTGTCGTCAGGTCTCAGAGAGGTGTTTATTATAAATAAAAATTAAAATTAAAGCGCACTGAGCCAGCAGATTTTGAGGGTCGTTGCAGCCCATAGTAAACTTGCGTCTGCTATCGAGTCCAGTATGTGAATCCATCACTTATCTCGGTGCATCTCGCCTTACGACAAAGAAAAGAAGACAGGATCGCAGCTGCGCCTCTCGTTTCCCACGCCCACTCCACGCGTGCTGTTGAACGGCGATCAAACGGACAGGGCGCCGCTGTCACGAGCGGAGGTAGTCACTCACAATCATGCCAGTTATTTTCTCTTATCTCGATTGTTTCTTCATACGCTATACTCCATTAATTTATACTATAAATATATTTCCAATCCCCATTTATTTGTTTTTTTAATTATTTCATATATTTATTTCTTTATTTTATATTAAAATTAAGTATTCAGAAGTTACAGCAATATTTGATGAAAAAAATATTTTTAACACTTTCATATTTAATTATTTATTTGTAAGAAATTGTATTTATTTTTTCTACAATTTCTATTTTCTAAACTTTTTGTATTAATTATATTTAATTTGAACATAATTTAATTTATTTTAATTATTTTATTGATATCATTATTAGTTATACACATATTTGTTTTTTATACATTTATGCATACGTAAATTATTAATTATTATATATTATTAATTAAAGTTCAGCTATAATGGCTAATAATAATGGCTTTGCAATGCAAGCATTATAATGAACTTTAAAAAACATTCATAATCAATTATTGTTCTTATAAACCAGGCTTAAAATGCAACACTCAGTTTTATACAATATGTTACGGGGGTCCCTGCTCCGTCTTTTATCCACGAAAGGGTTCCTTGGCCTGGAAAACACTTTCCATGCTTATTTCCCCAACCGTTCCACTGTTTCGCTGTTTTCCTGGATGTGCATCATATGATAGTCAGGTGTTGACATGTTTACTGCGGCGTCGCATCTGATGTGGCCGTCTTGTTTATAAGAGCAGTCATGAGACTTGCGCATTTGAATGCCGTAATGCTATAAACTCCACTTCTCCTCCGCTCTTACATAACCTGTTGATTTGCTTCGCATTTGAATCTCTCGGAACTATTGGCTGCGTATCAGGACTGCCTTCAATTAACTTGAGTGAGGAGCATTTAACAAAGAGGTAATTTACAGAAAGAGCTTAATTTTTTTTATACGTTGTCCGATGACGTCCCGAGGTTGGAGCAGATTAATCATTTTTTTAAGTATGTCTCCTTTGTGCATGTGTGTGTGTGTTGCATTTCTCATTAGCTCGCTGTTGTTTGAAAGAGGCCTGAATGACTGAGTTCACGGTTAACCTGGAAAGAAGGCTGGTTATGTAACGAGCTCTCGAAACTGCCCCAGAATTCGGCTGATAACTTGCACTCCTCACCCTCCCTCCTTGTGTCGCGCATCACACACTCGCTCCGTGCCTGTTTGGCTCCAGAAAAGTCGGGCAGGATTTTCCTCTGCGCTCTTCTCCCCTCCTTTTTTTTTCCCTGTCGTCCTGTGCGAGCGTGCATGAGCAGCCTCTCACTGCTATCCCCTCCGCCACTCAGCTGATTACTGACTTATGTAAGGAAAAAAAAAACAACAACGAGTGAAATTATAAGAGGATATACCAGAGAAAAACACTACATAACCAGCGGGACACTTTTATTCATAGAAGGAACTGAAAGTTTTCCTTTAGGATTTAGATTGGGATGTTGTGTTCCTAAAACACAGTTTGATTTAGCAAGACCTCATTTTTGAATTCAGAAGAAAATCAAACCGTTCTAAGGGTTTTCTTTGGAAAGCAAGCACTCTGTGTGAATTGTGTGCTTGTTTGTGTGAATGTGTCTACATTGCCAGTCTTGTAGTGCTTGGGACGGTGTTGGAGACAGATGGTGTAAAATCAGGTGAGCTGAGGGAGGCACTCCAGGTTATTTCCGTGGTAGTTGCTGTGAGTTTGTGTGTGTGTGTCTGGTTATGTAACCGCAGTGGTGTGAGTCTGGCTGGCAGTAAACAGGGTGGAGGGGAGGGAGGGACGTGAGAACTCTGCTTAGGAGTATGGCTGCGCTGCTTTGCTGACTTAACTCCTTGTGCGCTGGGACAGGAGTGGCACATGCACATCTAAAGGTTTAATTGGAGTCGAATTTTCCTGGATTATTTGAGATACGAGATTATATAGAAGTATACAAGAGAAATGTAAAATATATATAATATACAAATGTAAATGATCAAATATAATTATATCAATTTAGTTTAATATCTGAAAATATAAATAATTAATATTTTTATATATTAAACCTTTTTATTTGTGTGTTTGTCTGTATATTTTTTGTGTATATGTGTGCGTGTGTGTGTGTGATTTGTATGTAAAATTTAAAGTTATATTTATGAACAATAAATATTAATGATTAGTGCTGTCAAACGATTATTCGCGATTAATCGCATCCAAAATAAAAGTTTTTGTTTGCATAATATATGTGCGTGTTCTGTATATTTATAATGTATTTATAACTACACACACATACAGTATAGGTTTTGAAAATATTTACGTCTATATTTATATACATATTATGTAAACAAAAACTTATATTTTGGATGTGATCATGATTAATCGTTTGACAGCACTATTAATGATACAATTCTGTGTACATTTATAAATAATTTATTAATTAATAATATTAATAATAATAATTATTATTATTCTATAAACAAGAAGTATATTAAAACTATATACATATAATAGACAAATTATTTGTGCATATAATTATTATTATTTGTTTTATATATTTAATTTTATTTTCATAAAATATATATTTAGTGTTTACATGTGTGTATGTATTTAATATATTATTATTTTTATTAAATATTTGCGCACACAGAAACATATTTAGTGTGTTTACATATGTGTGTATGTATTTAATATATTATTTTAAATAATAACACACGTGTGTGTGTGTATATATTTATATATATATATATATATGTATATTGTATACATATGTACATACATAAAAATATAAGATAAAAATAATATAAAAAACGTTGTTTTAATCAAATTCTAAATTAATTTTAAATGTATATTTTATTCAGTACTGAAAAGAATAGTATTGCTTTTCCTTGTATTTGGATGATTTGTGTTTAGTTGACACAATACCAAACAGTAAACTACTGGAATCAGTTATGATTTGACTTTCATTTAATTCCGGAGGTGAGAGAAAGAGATCATGAAAAGCAAAATGATGACTCTTATTGTTGCAAAAAGTTACAATCTCTCCCACCCTCTCTTTTCTACTAATTTACAGTATGCTAACTCTATTTTGTTATTTTTCTCCTCATTGTCCTCCCTATCCCTCCAGCGGTCATTTTTCTGCCGTCTGACAGGCGACAGTAAGTCAGAGAAGTTCTTCAAAGTGTTTTACGAGCGGATGAAGCTGGCCCAGCAAGAGATCAAGGCAACTGTGACGGTGAACACCAGCGATCTGGGCAGCAAGCGCAAAGACGAGGACGCCAACGACAAGGACAACCAAACACGCAAGAAAGGTCAGGGCTCAGCACGCCTGACCATAAACTACACGCACCGCTACATGTGATTATACCATGTAGCCCAGACATGCGAAAGCATAAACAAATACAATCCTCCCCATTTTTCAGTCAAGGAGGTGGCTGTAGTGACCGAAGAAATGCGAGAGCAGCTTCTTGAAGCATCTACGGCCACAAAGAAGGCCTTCACCGCTTACCGAAGGGAGGCGGACGCCGACGAGCATCAGAATGTGGCGGAGGGGCAGAGCAGCACAGGCGAGAAGAACCAGGATGACAACGAGATGAGCGTCATCATAACCATCATGCAGCCAATCCTGCGCCTCCTGCAGCTGCTTTGTGAAAACCACAACCGTGAACTGCAGGTTAGCCGCTGTACTAGAGTATATGTTGTGAAGAGTTTCCCAAATGTTGAGACCTAAAAACGTAGCTTGTCTAGCTGCACTTTCTCTAAGGAGCTGTATGTATGAGTGGTGTCAGAATAGATCTTATTCATTCAACCCAACATGAAATGTTATTTGCTAGCCATTTTTAGTTCCCTAATGTGGCGTACTTCTCAGTGAAAAGGGATATTTGGGGGGGGGGGCACTTTTAGCAAGGTTGTGATAAAGAGTGGCACAGTCAACCTGAAATATGACTGCCACCCCCACTGGATCCCCCAACATTAATGGGCTAGAGTACTGTCATTCTAACGATGCCTGTATGTCACTAGATCAGAGTGCTGTCAATAGCTGCCTGATTGTTGCATGCAAAGTTTGCATTTGGAGCGCTCAAGACGATGCCTGTATGTCACTAGATCAGAGAGCTGTCAATAGCTGCCTGATTGTTGCATGCAAAGTTTGCATTTGGAGCGCTCAACAAAACCATTAGATCAGTGGGCTCTGTCAGTGCTTTGGCAAGGTAACACTTTTTTTTGACATGCAATAAAGCTAAGTTCAAAGCCCAATTTAAAATATTGGTACAGTAAATAAAGTGCACAAAATCAGTTTTTTGTTTAGGCAGTATTTGTGGCACATTTGTCCAAAAGGTGTGCGTTTTTTGCGCCAATGCATTGTTAAAGGATCAGCGTGTCATGTAATATTCCCATATAAACTTTAACATCCAATTAAAATATATTTTTATAGTAAAATTAGCTAATTCACGAGATCAATACATCCTTTATTAGACCGCTTTGTCGAGTTAAATGCATCCTTATGGAAGTGTCGAAATGCTGAATCAATTAATTCACTTCCAACAGCGCTTAATGGGAGCAGCGTCATAGAGGGCAGAGCGTCACTTTATTTAAAGGGGACATTAATGCGTTAATGAGTAGCAAATGATTAAGTAGCTGCATTGGTTACTTTTATGCCACTGATAAAGCTTTTATATGTAGTTTGGGGTAACAAAGGGGTTTTATAGGTTTGACTGAAATAATAATGCAATAACTGACACTTTAAATCAATGTTTCAAGAAACAACAACAAAAAAATAGGGATTTCGCCTAGGGCGTCAAATTGGCTAGAAACGGCCCTGAACCCAGGAATTAAAAGGTTTAGCAAAAACGTTGTTAGCTGAAAAGGCTCAAAATATTAAAAGGTTATGAAGACAGCATTTATTTTTTGTCAAATAACATATTAAAAAAGTAAATGGAGTTTATTTATTACAAGCTAAATTGCAGAATGTGAGAAATGTCTTTCAGTTTTGGTAGCTTTTGAAGATGTTTCATGCTAGTTAAAAAAAAAAATTTGCTAATCGTCCAGAATTATTTCCATTACGTCACCCTCTTGATGTTTACAGCAATACAATACAAATATATAAAGAAACTTATTTTTTGCTAAATCTAATTTGTATATTTTATTAAATACTGAAAAGTATTAATAGTGCAATGCAGGTAAAACTGATTATTTATCTTTCGAAGAAGAGTTTCATGCTAGTTATACAATTAGCTTATCATTAACCGTTTGGTGAATTGTTTTATAATTATTTCCTTTCTTAACTAATGTTTATATTTGTAACTTTTTACATAACGCCATCCTGTGGGTGGTTACATCATAAACACGTTTTATAATTTGACTTCTTGGATCTGATATTCTCAAAGTCCTTGAAGAAGAAAAAAAAGTATATTTAAGCAATCTGAAATCCTCTTTTTGTTCCAAATACTTATTGTTGATTATATATTGACTCTGTCTGTGCTTCTTCTAGCTCTAATATGACTTATAAAAACAAAAGCATGCCCCTCATATCCTGTTTTTCTCACTTGTTCCCTAGAACTTCCTTCGCTGTCAGAACAACAAAAACAACTACAACCTGGTGTGTGAGACGCTGCAGTTCCTGGATTGTATATGTGGCAGCACTACAGGAGGTCTGGGGCTGCTGGGGCTTTATATTAACGAGAAGAACGTCGCTCTCATAAACCAGACTGTGGAGAGCCTGACAGAGTACTGCCAAGGGCCTTGCCATGAAAACCAGGTGGACATGACACATTCACACACTCTTCCTCATCCATACTTTAAAGGAATAGATCACCCAAAATGAACTTCTGTTGTCATTTACCCTCACTGTTAAAGCATCTCTGAGCAGTCTGATTCAAGAAATAATCATTCAGGAGGGCTTGATTGATCCATTGATTTTTTTGTGAATTGGATCTAATTTGTGAATCTCTTCTTGTCTCTTGAACTCAAAACACAGAGGAGGGTAAATGATGCCAGAATTGTAATTTTGGGGTGAGCAATCGCTCTAAGATTATGCCCCTCAATTATGCATCCTTATATCCACTATTATTTACTCAAAATGATGATAAAATCTTTCTTTGTTTTTCGGGCTAGGCATTATGCAACTTTTCTTACTTCGTAGGACCTTTATAATGGGGCTGATTATCATCATTGTCCTACTTTTCTAAGAGGAAATGTAGTGTATTTGTATGACGGCAATGTGCTTTTGTCCCGTAATAATTAAATGATTAGTCTTCCACTGAAGCACTCTCTTTCAGGGTCATAATTATTTAATTGATGGATGATTTTCATATTAAACATTTGGGAATGTGTTTTTTTTTTTTTTTTTCTAGGGCAGCTTTTGTTTAGATCATTTAGCCTTTTAATGCTCAATTCTGTAGCATATTCTGTAGATGTGCCTACTATACAATACTATCCAAAGGTTTGGGGTCAGTAATGTCTTCTTTTTTTTTTTTTAATAAATGAATACTAAAATATCCATTAAATTGTCCTAAAGTGACAGTAAAGACTTTCGCAAAAAAAAAAATTATATTCATAAAAGAATCCTGAAACAAATGTATCACGTTTTTCACAAAAAATATTAAGTTTTCATCATTGATAGTAATAAGAAATGTTTCTTGAGCAGCAAATCGGCATATTGGAATAATTTCTGGAGGATCATGTGACACTGTAACGATTCTGAAAATTCAGCATTGCATCACAGGAATAATTACATTTTAAAATATATAAAAATAAAAAAGTTTTTTTTAAATGTATATAATGTTTCACAATTTTTTGATTAAATTAAAGTCTAAAAATAAAATAAACAGTCTCCCCAACACCAAACGTTTAATGGTAGTGTACATTTAACATCTTTTCCCTTGTTCAGAACTGCATTGCCACGCATGAATGTAACGGCATTGACATCATCATCGCTCTCATCCTCAATGACATCAACCCTCTGGGAAAGAAGAGGATGGACTTGGTCCTGGAGCTCAAGGTGTGAGAACACTTCCACAGCTCTATGGGATGTGTACTGTAGTTTTCAATCCAGTCCAAAATAATTGACGTGAATTGTCTTTTTGTTACAGAATAACGCCTCAAAACTGCTGCTTGCCATCATGGAAAGCCGCCACGACAGTGAGAATGCGGAGAGAATCCTGTATAACATGAGGCCTAAAGAACTGGTGAATGGCACTTTGCATTTTGCACAAACACATCTTTCTCCTATTCCTGTGGACAGATTTTCTTTTTTGCATATGGTGGCAAATCTACTGTCATTATTGAAATGTTTGGTTGGTGTACAGGTGGAGGTGATCAAAAAGGCCTACATGCAGGGAGAGATTGAAGTAGAACACAACGAGGATGATGAGAATGGCGAGGAAGAGCACGCCGCTTCTCCACTAAATGTGGGTCACAACATCTACATCCTGGCCCATCAGGTGACGCACACAAATATGCACTTACACGCACTTTGACTGCGTTCACTGTGTCAGATGTCTGGATTATATCACCGTCTTCCCCTCTCCCGTGTGCTTCAGTATAGATTTTCTGCCTATTCACGTAATTATCTGGGTCTACGTCGGAGGATCAGTTATGTAACCACGTTAGGAATGGTGCAGCTTTTCCACCGGTTCTCCAAATGACACTGTTTGGCATTAGGGCTTTGTGAATGAAAAGACCAGAGAACAAAAAGTACATTAGACACGGCCCTTTGATTCAGTTTTACCCAAATAATAGAGAAATGTGCTTTTGCAGGTTGAGGCTCAAAAGGTCAGTCCATAATTGCAGCTACAAGTAATCCATTTCTGTGATGGCTACACTGGCCGTGTTTTTCAAACTGAGTTTATTTGTTCACTGCTGGGCTTTGACCCTTGGTTGTTGTCGTAATTGGACCATTGTGAGAATATTAAATGTGGCTATTTCATGGCCATTTAGCTATTGCAGAAGGAGATCAAAGTTAGGTAAATAATATTAAAAACATAATAAAACAAAAAGATACATGGTAAATTATTGTTTTTCACACAAAAATGCAAAAAATAATAAGTAAATAAGTTAATCACATTATAAGCAGATTAAATAATGGAAAATACAATGAATAGATCAAATAAAAAATACAATAGAATAAATAAAAAGTGTCTGTTAAAGTCAATATACATATGTTTGAGCATTAGTCAAATTCCTTATTTTTCTTATTCTGGTAACAAAATATGGAAGCCTGTTTCCGCCACTGATTAAAAAAAAGGTAATTGAGACTTTTTCTCTCACAGCTTTGACTTTTTCTCACAATTGCGAGCTTATATTCCGCAATGCTGACTTAATAACTCGCAACTGCGAGATATATCCCGCAATTCTGACTTTTTATCTCGAAATTCTGACTTTATAACGCACATGTAAGTTTATATCTCACAATTGCGAGAAAAAAAGTCTGAATTGCGAGTTTGTATTTCACAATTCTGAGAAAAAAAGTCAGAATTGTGAGAAGTCGCAATTACCTTTTTAAAAATTTTTATTAAGTCGTGGAAACAGGCTTCCATAAAAAATATTGCTGAGTGAGTATTGCAATAATCTGCGTGTTTATAGCTATCCAAATAAGAATGCACCAATGCTAGCAACTGAAGTTTGAAAGCCTCAGACTTTTGTGTTGTAGTTGTGACATAGTGTTATTTACCATCATCTAAAGCAGGGGTGGGGAACGTTGATCCTGGAGGGCCACTCTCCTGCAGAGTTTAGTTCCAACCCTGAAAAACCCTAGAAAAAAAAAAACATTGCATTTTTTCTTGCAGATCGTCCGCCTGGATCGCACAATGGAGCAGATCGTTTTTCCCGTCCCCAACATATGCGAGTTCCTAACCCAGGAGTCCAAGCTCCGTGTCTATTACACCACAGAGCGCGATGAGCAGGGCAGCAAGATCAACGACTTCTTCTTACGCTCTGAAGACCTCTTCAATGAAATGAACTGGCAGAAGAAGCTGCGAGGTACTCAAGAGGCCACTGGTAACGCAAACTCCGTGCCTTGTGCGTGCGCACTCCCTTCCTCTATAACCTAGTAAGCTGCTTTACACACCCTCTCCACTCCCAAAGCATCCAGGGACCCATCAGGGCTCTATTCATGTAGGGCACCCAGCTTTTGGTGCTGGGATGCATGCCTCACCCTGACCCCCTCAAGCCCGGGCAGTAGGGAGGGGGTGTAAATGTTAACTTATATAAGATAGACAAGAATAAACCTGTAACTAAAAATGATGTTTAAGTTTGCTTAAGATTTTGGTTTAATGTGTGCTTGAGGGTTTGGGAAACAAGGAAGAAAGAGAAGTCTGAATGAATCCCAAGAGTCAGGGAGAAGTCTGAATGAATCCCAAACAAACACACATGGCGGCTTACATCACAAAAGCCGATTACGGAAATAAGCTGAGCGAGGGATCAAATAAACAGATGATGGCAAAAAATTAATTCTTTAACCCATTTTCCACCAACCGGGTGCTGGTGACCAATCTGGAACCATTTCCAACTAGCTCTGCACCAGCTGCTTGAACCAGAAACCGATGTCAGGGTGGGTTAATGGCCAAACTGAATGGCAATGCAGAAGTATTAGAATATTAAAATACCAAAAAAAAAGAATATCAGAGGAACCAAAAATGTATTAAATTACCCAGGACCCATGCACTTTTGACTGTTGCATTAAAAGATCTCATGATCAAATTTAGAAAATTCTGTTTCTGTGGAAAACGGATTGGAAAGGTGAGGCAAGGATGGTAGAAAATGGGTTATTTGGAAAAGGATAAGAGCTCTCAGACAGGAAGAGTGTGAGGTGAACCGCAATAACAAGATAAAACCTGCAAGATAAGAATCAGAACTGTGTCAAAAAGCAACTTGACAGATGGAGGGGCTTGCGACAGCTATTTTCTTGCATGGGACATTTGGCCACAGATCTTGTTTGTATTTTTGAGTCTTTTGGTCATGAGTTAAAAAGGAGGGTGTGAATAAAAAGGAGGGTGTGAATTCCATGTTAGTAATGAACCTCTATGATTGACATGTAAAGGTTTTTATCAGGCAGAATCAAAGTAGAAGCAACGTTCCATTGCCGCAACCCCAAGTCATGAGTGTGGCGGCCTGTGTGTGAAAGTCCCCTCCTCCAGTTCCTCTTTTCAGACAAAAAACCCCTGTCAAAATAGCCATAGCTTAGAAACTAAATCCTCCTATAAGACTCCTCAGAGAGTCGCCTTAAATTTTAGGTGCCAGTGGTGAAATTGCACGTCTGTAAAACTGCACAACTGACCAAACAGCCTCTATCTTCATTCAGTACATGTTTTATTTGGAATAACATTGTTTAACTTAAGGCAGTTTTATGGGTGCAATGTGCAAATTCTGACCTACTACCAAAACCAAACAGAATTGCAAAAATTATGACTTTTCAAACTGATTTCAAACGATGCCATCTTCTGTTGTTCGGGCAACCAGGTGATCCTGCTCTAAATTTCACGCAGTTGGTTTAAACCAATGTTGTTGTGTTAGTACTCGAACAGATTGCTTCCCCTAGTGGCACAGAACTTACACACTTGGCCAAAGTTGGTGCTTGTTTGAATATCAGCAAAGGGTTTCAAATTAAATCTGTCAGTTTGTGTTTGTGCCAGAACCATGTACGTGGAGCTCTGATATGGTGTGCATCAGGGGCGTAGTATTGGACTCTTTTAGTTTTGTGATGGCAACACTCTGGAAAGGTACAAATTGTGCTGTTGATGTTCCTTAACATTTTGAATTGAATTTTTTTACTTGCTGCCTCCTCCAGCTCAGCCCATCCTGTACTGGTGTTCCCGTAACATGTCCTTTTGGAGCAGCATCTCCTTTAATCTTGCCGTCCTCATGAACCTGTTGGTAGCATTCTTCTATCCACTGGAAGGAGTGCGCGGAGGTGAGTTTTTTTTTGCTGTTTAGCATGAAATTCAATACAAATGTAATTTGTATTTCTTTGCATATGAGATATACAGTGGGTACGGAAAGTATTCAGACCCCCTTAAATTTTTCACTCTTTGTTATATTGCAGCCATTTGCTAAAATCATTTAAGTTAATTTTTTTCCTCAATGTATACACAGCACCGCATATTGACAGAAAAACACAGAATTGTTGACATTTTTGCAGATTTATTAAAAAAGAAAAACTTAAATATCACATGGTCCTAAGTATTCAGACCCTTTGCTGTGACACTCATATATTTAACTCAGGTGCTGTCCATTTCTTCTGATCATCCTTGAGATGGTTCTACACCTTCATTTGAGTCCAGCTGTGTTTGATTATACTGATTGGACTTGATTAGGAAAGCCACACACCTGTCTATATAAGACCCACTGTATATAAATTTCTAAAGTTTTTAATTATAATTGTATTATTATAATATTATTATATACATTATACTGTAATAAAGGATTTTTTCAAATCTCTGATCCAAACAAGCTGGATACTAGTGCTCTGTAGACAGTGCTCTGTAATTGTTAGAATACCAACCACAAATTTGATCATACTTGCATACATTGCTAGAGTACAGATTGCTGTTTTCATGGAAGTAAATGAGTGCATTCAGTAACAGATATTGGAACTTGACACTTCACTGACCTACTTTCAGCACACACAGCCCCTGAAAGACATAATTTGTCAGAGTTCCAAAAAAAACGCTGCTGGCTTTACTTCTGTCGTAACACATCTTATATAATTCATTCATTCTGAACGATTTGATCGCCTCCACTTACCTCAGTAGCGTAATTTTTTTTATATATATCCATGTTTATTCCATATAATCAATGAATAAATGTATTAATTGTATAAAATTTGATATTAATATATTAAATATATATTTTAATATTTATTGTAAAGAATGATTAAATGCATGATTAAACATTTAGAAATATAAAAAATATAAGTAAACAAAAACTAAAATACAGATTCATATTTACCTTCAGACACCTTGGAAAGCATTTCTGATCCACTAGCATGCTTGTTCTTTATGGGGTGTCGTAACGATCAGCATAACTTTTGTGCATAACCTCGTTATTGATCTTGCCCTCTTATCTGAGATCACTCGTGTAACATGTCACCTGACTCCGGCACTCACATGCACACTATTTCCCTAATCTCATAAGCTGTTAAGTCTGTGTGTCTATCTCCTCCCTGCTCTTTCTGATCAAAAGTGTGTTTGTATACATGTCGAAGGAATACGATACCTGGGGTGTATTCCAGAAAGCAGGTTATGTGACATACCCGGGTATGTTTGAGGATAAGAGAGCGGATAACCTCAGCTTTCGGTTCCAAAATTGGAGGTTACTTTCAGGGTATGTAAGTAACCATAGTAACTTGCTCTCTGAAGATAACCTACTCCGGAGCAGGTTATGTTCCGGGGTTTGTTCACTTCAGAGCTATCAGCACACACGTGACCTACTGACGAGCCTTCAGTGGGCATGACAGATAGCGCACATTATATAATATTACAATATAGATATGTAATATAGCCTACTATATACAGTATATATATATATATATATATATATATATATATATATATATATATATATATATATATATATATATATATATTATATATAAGTAATAAATAAGGTAATATTATTCTAATATGGTTATTATATTTATTTTATTGGCATATATAGCCGTTATGGGTATAAATGATAAAACACTATTATGACAAGGTAATGTTTAATTTATTATATTATATGAAGAGTTTATTTGCAAAAACAGATAACTCAAAAATGTCAAAATGTCAAAAATCATGTTTTTTTATTATGTTATCATGTTTTTATTGTGTTAGTTTGCTGTTTTTTTTGTTATTTTTTTAACCTAGTCAGAATAACCCAGCTGCAGTTTGATTGAGATTAACTGGAATGCACAAGGAAAAGACATGATTTCTGAGAATTATTAAAAACGGAGTTATCTGTTTTTGCAAATTAACTCTTCATATATATTTATTACATTTTATATTATCATCTCACACATGGATCAGCATTTTCTATAATGTATTTCTATAATGAAAAATACATATCTGATATGACTTAATATATAATTATCATCAGACAATGATAATTCATATTCTCAAGGATGAAAGATTAAACGGAAAAAAAGAAAAATGATTGCACAACCATCAATATGCACTAAGCATGTACAGGTGCATCTCAATAAATTAGAATGTCGTGGAAAAGTTAATTTATTTCAGTAATTCAACTCAAATTGTGAAACTCGTGTATTAAATCAATTCAATGCACACAGACTGAAGTAGTCTTTGGTTCTTAAAAGGGCTGGGTATAGCCACTTCCTTGTCAGTTATAGAAAGGCACATGCACATTGCAATTTTATTTATATGGTGCCTAAGAAACAGATGTTACATTGAGGTATGAGTGAGTGGACATTAGTCTTTCATGCATAGCTTCATTCTTCCTGACCTCAATTTCAGTTGCAATTGTGGCCAAACTTTTGAGACCACTCGCTATTTGTTTATGTGTGTATGTTTGTTTATTTATTATTATTTTTAATTTCTACAGTATAGATTAATATTTTATATCAGTGATATACATTTTTATGTTATTTAATTCTGTATTTTTCTTTACAACCATCTCTTTACAAATACAATTTTCAGTGTAACAAATTTGTGAACTATGTCCCACTCAGTGTTGGGGAAAGTTACTTTTAAAAGTAATGCATTACAATATTGCGTTACTCCCTAAAAAAGTAACTAATTACGTTACTTAGTTACTTTTTATGGAAAGTAATTCGGTGCATTTTTTTGCGTTACTTTTTAAATATGAGCAGGGCTTGATTGTTTTTGATATAATAAGTTCTATTTATAGTAAATGTAAAAGACCTTTCACACCAAAAAGTGTATTTACTTTTTTGAAATTAATAAGTAATGCGTTACTTTATTAGTTACTTAAAGTAATCTGATTACGTAACTCACGTTACTTGTAATGCATTACCGATATAATAAGTTCTATTTATAGTAAATGTAAAAGACCTTTCACACCAAAAAGTGTAATGAATAAACCTCAGGCTGAAGGAAAAGTAAATTCACGTCTGTACAGTAGAACACAGGAGAAGAAGGTTCAACACTCTTCAGCAATAAAAAAACAATGAAGCACAATTGTTAGTTTATCTAAAGTCATTCTGCTTATTAGTATGGTTGAACTGGATCATCAAAGGTCAGCAGCAAAGACATTGGTTAATAAAATGGAATTAGATACATTTGTGTTATTTAACACATTTAATTATTGCAGGTTTGCGTCATATTCTAAGTTTGGATTTCACTGTTTTAATTCATTTTGATGAATACTAAATCTGTTTTTGCAAGTGGGATAAATTAATGCACAGTCACATTTAGTCTAGAACTACAGTAACATCATGTTCACACAACGCCTCTGCACTTCTGATTTCTCCCAATATGGGGACAGGAGATCTGTCAGTCAATAAATGGGAAAACAAAGTAACTGGCTTTACTTTTTTGAAATTAATAAGTAATGCGTTACTTTATTAGTTACTTAAAGTAATCTGATTACGTAACTCACGTTACTTGTAATGCATTACCCCCAAAACTGGTCCCACTTTTGTCTGATTGACAGTGGCATTCAAGTGGACATGATCAAAGCTTGATGATCAAGTTCGCCAGCATATACTGATAAAAGATTTTAAAAAATCTGAGTCACATGATCAGTGTCACAAATTTACTTGATTGGTAACCTAGATGTAGTGCAGAATCTGAAATATTTAACTCGTTTCTTTGTGTTACTAAAACTTTATTTCCAGGTTTAAATTAGATTTAGAATCCTAGAGTTTCAGTGTGCAGTCTGTTTGTGTGTGTGTAAGTTTGTGGAAATGAATGGAACAGAGCCTTTGACGTCCTCGATTCTGAAAGTTTCCTGGCCACCCACCAGCCCTGTTGGTCCAAACCCCAGCTCGGCTCGGTACCCGACGCTCATGCATCTTTCAGCCGTGATATTTTTAGCACGCCGTGTTATGTAACAAGCACCTGTCATGTGGTCTTCTCGCAGGCAGTAGAGTGAGCAAGCGAGCTGGAACCATTGCCTCTGTGAAGATCCTGCAAATCCGACTGGCCTCATTTTTCTTCTCTGCGTACACACACACACACACCACCCCCGCTTAGCAATCACACTAATATAAGACCTTGCTGTACTGTACCTTTCATTGCCATTCACTTAGAACAAGGATTAAAAACAATGCTAGAGCGGCTCATGACAAAGCTTCATCGAACCTTAACATATTCAAATGTGTTATGTAACTATTTTCTATTTTTTCAAAGCATCTTTCCCTTGAGGGCTAGAATGTGCCCAAACATGTTCAACAGGTGAAACTGCAAGTACTTTAGGGAATCCCATTTAGACCTGCTGTACAGAAACGCAGTTTCAGATACACAGTGCAGTCAAGGGTAATGACAATGAATATAATCTTAGTTAAGCACCTGTCATGTGGTCTTCTCGCAGGCAGTAGAGTGAGCAAGCGAGCTGGAACCATTGCCTCTGTGAAGATCCTGCAAATCCGACTGGCCTCATTTTTCTTCTCTGCGTACACACACACACACACACACCACCCCCGCTTAGCAATCACACTAATATAAGACCTTGCTGTACTGTACCTTTCATTGCCATTCACTTAGAACAAGGATTAAAAACAATGCTAGAGCGGCTCATGACAAAGCTTCATCGAACCTTAACATATTCAAATGTGTTATGTAACTATTTTCTATTTTTTCAAAGCATCTTTCCCTTGAGGGCTAGAATGTGCCCAAACATGTTCAACAGGTGAAACTGCAAGTACTTTAGGGAATCCCATTTAGACCTGCTGTACAGAAACGCAGTTTCAGATACACAGTGCAGTCAAGGGTAATGACAATGAATATAATCTTAGTTTAGCATCTGTACTTCTGTTATTCGTCAAAATTCAAATGTGTATTCAGAATTTTACTAGTTAGTTCAGCTCAAAATGATATTATTTTTGTTCCAAACCCATATGACCTACTTTCTTCTGTGAAGCACAAAAGGAGAAGTTTAGCTGAATGTCTTGACTCCCGTTTTCCAGATGCACTGAAAGTAAAAAAGTCTTCTGAAGCCAAAATTGTATGAAATGTTAATTATAAGGTATTTTATAAGTCCTCATTCACTTCTTCTTTTGTATTCCACAGAAGAAAGAATAATGAGGGCAAGTGATGACAGAATTATAATTGAATCATAATCAGATCAAGACGGTCGTACATGTTGAAACAACCTAAAAATGACACAACTTGCAGAAACACAGTGTGGTTTTTTAATCAGAATCTAAGTTGTGTCCCTGAGATAGTTGAACACAAGGCCTGTAGCATCGCTGACGCTGTAACCGTGACAGATGGCATGATAACATGTCACTTCTGTGGTATTTTTATCCCAGAGCATGATTGATGGCACTAAAACGTGTTTACCTCTTTTTCCTCAGGCACCCTGGAGCCACACCTCTCTGCACTGCTTTGGGCGGCAATGTTGGTTTCACTGGCCATAGTTATAGTGCTACCCCAACCTCATGGGATTCGGGCGCTCATCGCTTCCACCATATTACGCCTCATATTTTCGGTCGGCCTGGAGCCCACACTGTTTCTTCTCGGGGCCTTCAATGTGAGTGAACGACAGTCTTCTGCCAAAGCTCGTCGGGCCGGCAGTGTTGTTAGAGGTCAGCTCGGTGTGTTTTGCACTGAGGTGTGTCGTGCGTCACTGGTGGATTTCACACGGCTTTTACAGGCCGATGTTAAAATGGACTTGGCTCACACAATAACTCCACTTTCCCCTAATAGTATGCACACTTAGTATGCATCCAAACCAAATATCAGTTCCAAATCATCTTAAACTTGCAGGAAAAGTTTCCCTAAAAAGTGTAATTGTCATCATTTGCTCACCCTCATGTCGTTTTAAACATGTATGACTTGAACCACAAAAGAGAGGTTTTGAAGAATGTTCATGCTGCTCTTTTCTCACATGCATGTATTCAAAACATCTCGTGTTTGTAGCAGGAAATACTGTGGTTTTGGAACAATATGAGGTTGAATAAATAATGACAAATCTGTAATTGGGCAAATTAATCTTTTTGTTCATGCGAGATGCACAATACTAAAACAAGTATTTTACTTGGTTATGCTTACCAAGACTGCATTTATTTCACCAAAAATAGAGTACATTTTATAATATTATTGCAGTTTAAAAGAACCATTTTCTATTTTAAAATATTTTTTAAATCAAATTTATTCCTGTGATGCAAAGCAAAATTTTCATCAGCGGTTAGTCTTCAGTGTCACAGTAATACATTATTTTCTTAAGGATTCTTTGATGAATCACTTTTGATCAATTTAATGCATCCTTGCTGACTAAATGTATAAGTTTCGTGCAAAAAAAGGGGGAAAAAATCTTACTCTGAGCATGTAAATGGTAGTGTAATTATTTCCTACAAAAAACAGCATGAGCTACTAACAATTGTTTGTTCTTGAAGAGAGTTAACAGTTGGAACTTGTTTGCATTGTTCCAAATCATTAGCTGAATGCTTTGATAATTTAGTGGTTTTATAATTAAATATGATTTCAAAATAACTTCATGGAAATGTTTCATAATGCGGAGATTGAAAACTGATGCAAGTACTTTAGCCCGTAATTTGTGGTTTTGCTTCAATTGTTGGTGTATCCGTAATGATACACTACAGATAAATGTTCTTATTGCTAAAGGTTACATCAACTCATTATATGCGAGCAAAAATTGTGTTTGTAACTCCAATAAAATCTCTTAACGCTATGGTTGTGTTTTCAGGTGTGCAATAAAGTGATTTTTCTAATGAGTTTCGTGGGAAATCGCGGTACGTTCACGAGAGGATACAAGGCCATGATCATGGATGTGGAGTTCCTGTATCATCTGCTTTACCTCATTATATGCAGCCTTGGAGTCTTTGTTCATGTCTTCTTCTACAGCTTGCTTGTGAGTAATACACACATACATTTTCAGTCACTCCACCAGACAAACCTATCTTTCACACAGCGACGTCTCTTCTAACTCTGACCTCTCACACTTTCACCATCTTGTATGCTGTATACACGCGCACACACACACAAACACACACACACACACACACACACACACACTCACTCACTCACTCTCATCTTACTCTCTCTCCAGCTCTTTGACCTGATCTACCGAGAGGAGACGCTGTTAAACGTCATCAAGAGCGTAACCAGGAATGGCCGCTCGATCGTTTTGACCGCCGTGCTGGCTCTCATCCTGGTCTACCTCTTCTCCATAGTTGGATACATCATCTTCAAGGATGACTTCATCCTGACCGTGGACAGGATATCCAATAAAACTCTTGGTGAGAAAAACCGATGGATTTCTATCTGATGTTGCTCAAAGTCTGAAAATTACACTTTGAAAACACATCCACATGGTACATGAGAAATCTCTTGTTGTTTCATGTAACAGGTCAGATTTCAAACATCTAGCTGGTTATTTAGCAAGAACACTTACAGGTCACCCTAAAATCAAAAGAAAGAAATTGTTATGCTTATACAAAATGAAGCTTATTTTTATAACCAGTACAGGTTTTTTTTTAAAGAAATGAATTATTTTAGTCCGCAAGGATGCATTAAATTGAGCAAAAGTGACAGTAAAGACATTCATAATGTTGCAAAAAGATTTTATTCAAAGAATCCTGAAAAACTGTATAGCAGTTTCCATAAAAATATTAAGCAGCACAACTGTTTTCAACATTGAAAATAATAAGAAATGTTTCTTGAGCAGCAAATCTGCATATTAGAATGGTTTCTGAAGGATCATGACACACTGAAGACTGGAGTAATGATGATTTCTGCTTTGCATCACAGGAATAAATTACAGTTTAAAATGTATTCAAAATGAAAATTGCTACAATAATTATTTTAAATGTATTTTAAAGTGTAATAGCATTTCACAATATTACAGTTTTTACTGTAGTTTTTGATCAAATAAATGCAACTTTGGTGAGCATAAGAGACTTCTTTCAAGAACATTAGAAAAATCCTACTTACCCCAAGCTTAAAATGATATTGAATCATATATTATAATAATATAATAGCTGTACTTTAATCATTAATAAATATTGATTTAAAAGTAACAATTTAAAGCTCTTAATCTGTTTTTCCCTATGTTCAGAGCAATCCGCCAGTAAGATGGGAGAGTTCCTGGCAGGCGCGGTGTGTCGGAAAGAAGAGAACTGTTCCACGGAGACCATGATGGATGGTATGGACCCCATCACTTGCAACTCTCTCCTTCACACTCACACACTTCTAGTTAAATCTGAGTAGTATGGCCTGGTCATGAGACGAGGAAAGGAGAGACTCAGTGTTCTCAAGAATCCCTGGTAGGTTATGTGGGTGATGTTTGGGGTCGGAGGTTAATGACAGTCAGGCACTAAATGTTCAGCAGGTTCATGCTGGTTCGGGGTTAAAGTCCAGACCAGTCTAATTCGGATTAGCAAGCGGGTCTTTGAGAATGTGCAAATTTAAGATGTAAGGCCAGACTAATTTGATCACTGGAGCTGATCGGCCAGTCTGAACCCACTGAACCTGCGGCGCATGGCATGTCTGCCCCTGTGAATGTGTCTTACCTTGTTTAGCACATCAGTTAACATTGAAAGACCTCGCTTAGGCCAGTTTGAGACTAGCATTGTTCTTTCTCATAAACAGGGTTACTTAGGGTTAACAAGCACAAGATGATGGCAAAGCTGAAATTTCACCAGTCTTTAGCGATTCTTCAGAATGTTGAAAAAATGTAATTAATATTTATGTGGAAACTGTCATTCGTTTTTTAGTATTCGTTGATAAATAGAAAGTTTAAAAAACAGTGTTTAGTTATAAAATAGATATCTTTAGAAACACCTTCGCAATCATAGCTAGCACCGCTGACGTTTTCTTTATATAAAATATACAAATTTAGTTGTATAAATTGTTCGGTATTTGTTTGCAAATTATCTTTGACGTTTGTGAATGAGATTTTGTTTGTTTTTTTGTGTTATGATCTGATAACTTTGGATCTTATTTTAGGAAAGCATTTCACCACAAATGCTATTTCTGCTTTAAGATTTGCATGTATGCAACCTTTCCGTCTGAGCACTTTCTGTAGAACATTCCACAGTAATACATTATTTGTTTAGCGATTATTGATGTGTTATTTCCTGCAGCTGTAGGAGTACAGTCGACCGCTGTTGTGATTGAGGATAAGGAGAGGACGTGCGACTCGCTACTCATGTGTATCGTCACTGTCTTGAGCCACGGTCTGAGGAGCGGCGGTGGGGTTGGAGATGTTTTGCGGAAACCTTCTAAAGAGGTACCTCACAAGGGCCTCAATATGAATTTGGGGCTTTGAGTCTTTTTATTCGGCCTATGGCAGATGGTTGTTCAGAAAACCTGTTTGGAAACAATCACTATTTTTCCAATTCCACTTGTGCAGGAAAGGGTTATTATATTATTATTATTATTATAAATAAAAAAGAACTAGTGCTGTCAAATGATTAATTGCGATTAATCACATCCAAAATAAAGGATTTTGTTTACATAATATATCAGTGTGTACTGTGTATATTTATTATGTATATATAAATACAAACACATGCATGTATATATTTAAGAAAAATATGCTGTGTATATATTAAATATATTTATATATAATATATAATATAAAATATAATAATATAAATTTATATACATGTAAATATTTTCAAAATATATACTGTATGTGTATGTATTTATATATACATAATAAATAAAGACAGTACACATACATATGTACACAAAAACTTTTATTTTGGATGCGATTAATCGCGATTAATCGCATCCAAAATAAAAGTTTTTGTGTACATATGTATGTGTACTGTCTTTATTTATTATGTATATATAAATACAAACACATGCATGTATATATTTAAGAAAAATATGCTGTGTATATATTAAATATATTTATATATAATATATAATATAAAATATAATAATATAAATTTATATACATGTAAATATTTTCAAAATATATACTGTATGTGTATGTATTTATATATACATAATAAATAAAGACAGTACACATACATATGTACACAAAAACTTTTATTTTGGATGCGATTAATCGTTTGACAGCTCTAAAAAAATGTTTTTGTTACTTGAAATAAAATAAGCATTACTACAAAATTAAAATTAAAATGGAAAATATAAAAATAAATGCTAATTCAAACTGGTATCTCACTGATACTAAAATAACACTGTTGAATAATTACAACTTGTCCTTGCAATAATTAAATAATTGTCCTTACAAATGCTGTTATGCTCACTGATTGGTGCATTTTGAATAGTCAATCAAACACTTTTTTCACTCTTATAGTACTTAAGTTTTGGTTAATCGGGCCTTAAAAATTGAAGTTCTCAAACAGTCTGTTTGGTTGCCCAGAGATAATGGTAATTGGGCAGATGTAGGTAGAAAACTGGGGTATTGAGTCTTCACTCAGAAAGCTTGAGGACCACTGGTCTGTTATTGGATGTTGATTGGGAGATTGAATTGGAAACAGCACTGATATTATAATCTACTGCATCTCTTTTCTCCATAGGAGCCTCTATTTGCAGCACGTGTGATCTACGACCTCCTCTTCTTCTTCATGGTGATCATCATCGTCCTCAACCTCATTTTTGGAGTCATCATTGACACCTTTGCTGACCTCAGAAGTGAAAAGCAGAAGAAAGAGGAGGTTCTGAAAACGACTTGCTTTATTTGTGGTGAGTGTCTACTGTACATGCCCTCAACGGCATTCCAGTGGCTTTCCATTCCAGTCAAATCACAAAACAAAATGCAAACGAAAGTGATCTTGCTCCACATCTCCTGAAATACAGCTGCAATTTTTGTTTATTAAAATAAACCATTTTATTATGGAACCTGAAACCTCAAACTCAAACTGAAAACGTTACCACCAGACAGACAAGTCAAGCGTAATGCTTCATTGAAGATTGAAAATAATAGCTTAATTGTTGTTTAAATGATTTCTGGACATTTCTTGTCTTTGGACATTATTGTTTATTTCAGTTTTGGCTTTGAAATGTACTGTAAGTAATACATCACATAAATCACATATCCATATATCTCTTTTCTTTTTTTTTTTTTTAATAAACTTGCGTCTATCTTCCCATCCAGCCTGGATAAAAGTATGCAGAGTTATCTTCAGTGAGTCACAGGCGTATTCATTTCATGTACCGATGTCCCATAAATTTCATAGGCCCACAAAACTGTTTTGCTCCAGCATAAACATTAAGACGCCCCCTCTTCACCAGAAGTCTTAGTCATAACTCACTGTGGAGGTGGAGGAGTGTCTTCCTGTCGCCACTTGGCGTGTTTGACCATGTCAGTGTGAGATCAGCTGTAAATGATTATAAATCTCACAGTACACACACTTACTTCTATATAAATACTGTTTTTGACTCATGTCTTTTGATATGCATTAATATTGAAACTGCAGTTTGTTGGGATTCAGTTGATGATTTCACAATCCTTGACTAACATTTGAAAGCTCAGCGCGCAACAGAATGTAATCTGAGATGAACAGTACAAACGTGCGATTGGAGAGCAGATGACGTGTTGTAATCAAGTGACAATTTCCCAATGTGTTCGCTTGCCAATCACGCATCGAAATTAGGGTATTTGTTTGTGACTATCACAAGATTCATAACCTCCGTTTGCTCATAACACGCACCATTCATGGTTGTATACAAATAGTTTCCCTGTGGTTCTACTTCCTCTTTCGAGATAGTACAGTTTTCTTTGAAACAAAACCATTTTTAAGAAAAAGGAGTTTGGTTATGCATCATGTCAAAGTCTTAAAAGATTGTTTTCCCTCTCACTGAATAAACTGCATAGAGCTAAAAAAGTTTCTGACCTAAACAAATCCTTCTTTTTGGACAACTGACCATTGGGCTGCTTTGTCACTTCAAGATTACACTCAATCTTGATCTTCTTAACTGACCTTAACCCTTAAAAACAAGGTTTATGTGGCAAGGCCCATTTACAACAACTGATTCAAACTCATTTCGTTGTAACTGTGTTTCTGCTCTACAGGTTTGGAGAGGGACAAGTTTGACAACAAAACAGTGACGTTTGAGGAGCACATTAAGGTGGAGCACAACATGTGGCATTATCTCTTCTTCATCGTGCTGGTGAAAGTGAAAGACTCCACGGAGTTCACAGGGCCAGAGAGCTATGTGGCCGAAATGATCCGGGTAATGTACTTGATAGGTTTGCTAAGATAAAATGATCATATTTTCAGCCACTACAGCCAAGTTTTTATTTCATTTTAAACTAAATGTAACATCTTGGGTGGATATGGTATATCGAAGAATTTCATTTGAAAATTTTTTGTACCTCTTGTGCCATTTTGAAGAAAAGTTGCGCAACAAATTACTATGCATAAATCACACACTGGAATGTGTAGCATCATCCATGGCTAACCCTTCATTCAGTTTAAAGGAATATTCTGGGTTCATTACTAGTTAAACTCATTTGACAGCATTTGTGGCATAGTTTTGATTACTGCAAAAATTAATTACGACTGGTCCCTCCTTTTGTTGAAAAAAGGCAACAAGATTACAGTTACAATTAAAGTGAATCCATAATCCAAAAAAAATTTAAAACACAAAACATGAACAATATATTTTGAACAAGATATTTTAAATTTTACCATTTTGTTGCCATGACAGTGTTATACCTAAATATTAAAATGACCAATTTTTGAAAGATGAATACTTTTATTCAGCAAGGAAGCATTAAATTGATCAAGTGACAGTAAAGACTTTATCGTACTGAACTTTGTATTCAGCAAGGAATAAAAACAAAACAAAAACAAATGTAGTGTGGTTTCCAAAAAAAAAAAAAAGCCTTGGTGAGCATAAGAAACTTCTTTCAAAAACATTTAAAAAATCCAAACTTTTGAACAGTAGAGTAAGTGCTTTTATAAAATTCACATTTTTGGTTTTAAATCCTTAGAAAAAGAACCTCAGTGCCTCATTGTAAATTAAGGCCCCTTCCACACAGAGATGCGTTTAGCTGTATACGCATACATTTTGTATCGTATAGGCGTTTCGTACAGACGGATCCGGCGTTTTGGGAGAGTGAAATCGATATTTTTTTAAACCGGGTCCCAGAGTGGATAAATCTGAAAACGCCCTTGCATTTTGTGTCGGCTTTGTGGTTTCGTGTGGACGCAGATATTTCTTGAGACGAGGGGGTAAAAAAGATCGGATAGGGAAAGCTCTGGCTTCGTGTGGACGTAGCCTAAAACTAGACAGCTGTCGCCTTTCAAGAAACTGAGGTCACCCTGAGGTTATTTAAGCCCTAGGGTCAAAGTCACATGATGAGAGAGAACCAGCCAATAGCATGGCACAGTTTTGGATCAGTGGATGTGTTTGTTTACTGCTGAGGATTTTTTTGTGAACTCTGAAAGTTGATAAGGCTGTGATAACTTGACACTGAGTGTCAACTCGTACACACAGAGAGGGAACCAAAGAGTTACGATCAAACAGCACATCGATAAGGTGTTTGTGTGTGGGTTTCTTTCCCCCTCTACACAGCATGGCTTCAGAGAAGCTGTTTTATATCAGATTTCCAAAGAATGATGTATTTATGAGGACTAAACCATGCCATGATGGGGCATGACTTCTCCTCAGAAACGTTTTTAGATCTTTTTATTCAAGCCCACAAACCCTGGGGCAGAAATCAACCGACTTGACCCTAGAAGTTTAGCTTGCTGTGGAGAATGTGGCCTACTTTAAGCTTTACCTTTGGGGAAAGTGAAGTACTTAAGAAATTTTCCACCAGATTCCTCGCAATAAATCCCCTTAAATGACCCCAAACCTTCTACTTTGACTTATGCAATCATAACTTTGTGACCTTCAGTCTCTCAGGGACGCCAGAGCTTCTGTTTGCCTTCAGACTGGAGTCTTAAGATGTTCTGAAAATGGCTTGGAATGTGTTAATCCTTGAAAAAAGCTGTGACAGCACACACGGCTCTGCTTCAGTTGGTTGATCAGAGAAGCAGGGGTTCCCCTCATGATTGCTATATGTGTACACTTTTGTATTCACGTGGTTCTTTGAAAAACTATCTCTTATCAGAAAAACTCTTTTAACAACTATAGCAAATCACTGGGTGAATGCAAGTCTGTTGCTAAATGTGATATTTAAAAAAATGCCTTTCAAAATGAGGGCACTTATGTTGTTCATTTAAACATCCTGTTTTCATCTTTATTGCCTTTTTATAGGTCATCATATGCTTTGCTTAATGCAATGGCGTGGAACTTTAATAGCGTTTTATGTGACTTTTGAGTAATTTTAGGGAAAGAGAAGTGCTCAGGAAAGCCCCTTCTGCACAAGTGGTTGTTCTCTTGACGCAGATGGCGCAGCGGTGGGTTTCTGACACAGTTTCTGATCCGGGTGGTGTCTTTTGGCCCAGTTCCCAACTTCCGTGGCGCATTTCGAGGGTTTGCCATGCAGTCTTCGGAGGAATCACCTGACTTGGGATTAGTTGCCCTTTAAGGTTTCCTAAAAAATAAGAATGCTTTGACTTGACAACAAAGGGTAGAGCATAATTTGTGATGCATCAGTTGTTGATGCAAGGTCTCTCTCTGTGGTTTCTGAGAAGGTGAGAAAGAAGAGCATCAAGCTGAGGTTGGTAAAGCCATTATTTGACTAGAAAATGCACATGCAGTCATTTTTTGACATTTTATTTAGTAAAGAGAGGACAGGAAGTGATAGGGAGAATGGGATCAGGAAATGACACAAACTGCCTACGTGAGCACCTGCAGGAATGAGTCTAACAACCTGGAAACAAGTTAACATTTTTGAACTTTTGTTTCTACCATCCTAAAGTCAGTGGGGGTTTTTTCAATGGGTTTTTAAAAAAGTCTGAGGTAAAAACAAACTCTAAATATTTTCACAATTTATCCTATGACATAAAATACATAACTGATACCCTATTTGTTTGTTTTTTTAAGTTTAAAACAAAATAAATAATCTGAAATAGTGGGACTTCAGAGATGGTCGGAGTAATTAAACGTCATCACAACAAACAGAAACATTTGTCCACTCACTAGTCCCTTTTACAACCTTATTATGTTTTTGCTTGTGCTCTTGCAAACTATTCAAACTTAAACTTTCTACAGTGTAGATTTTTAAAGAAATATTAAATAAATAGTCATGCTGTCAAACGATTAATCGCATCCAAAATAAACATTTTTGTTTACAGAATATATGTATGTGTACCGTGTATATTTATTATGTATATGGAAATACACACACTTGCATGTATATATATATAAAAAAAAAAATAGTTATGTTTATATATTAAATATATTTATTTATAATATAATTTATAAATATAGACATGTAAATACATGTAAATGTTTTCAAAATATTTATATACACATAATAAATATATACAGAACACACACATACTATGCAAACAAAAATGTTTATTTTGGATGCGATTAATTGCGATTAATCATTTGACAGCACTACAAATAGTTATAAGTAGTAGCTTAGTGGTGGTGACGTAGTTAATTTGTAGTCAGCTTTTTACTTCTGGTTATTGTATTTATGGTTCGAAATTCATAATTTATTCTTGAAGATTATCTTGATGAACAGGATATGTGATAATCATGAACATTTGTTGGCCACAGAGCTTATTTTCTGCAACAATCCAACAGATAATTGTTGAGGAACCAGAGTGATTCTAATTGTTGACTTGGTCTGCAAAATGTTCTAATCCCTGCAACAATTTGTCTTAAATTTCTGCTCTTACTGTGATTAAAACAAATATATGCACCTAAATTGCTTCAAGACCAAAGAGGAAAGACCTTTACTGTTTGATCGTCTACTTTCATTCAGGTAACTGAGGTTAGATCAAGCGCTGTGTCTGTAGGTAGAACCCCTACATGAACCTGCCCTTTTCCCTGCAGCTTTTTTCCCCCCATGAATATTATTCACAGCTTTGTGATGACGTCTGTTGTAATTGTCGCACTTTGAAGCGGTGCGTGAACGCTCGGCTCCCGTTTAGGACCGATGCTGTTGTTGCTGCTCAGACCACAGAGCATCCTGTCTAAGTGTGTGGGTTCTTGCGGTATTAGTAATGAAATTCACACTTCCCTCATTTCCATTGAAGCAGCAGATACAGTTGAAATTGATGTGGCTAGAGCGCTCACACATTTACTGGCAATGCTGTCAAGTGTAAACAAAGCTTAGGAAATAGAGGTTTGAGAGGGGGCTGGTTCGGACGCACGAATGTGCACAAACACACCCAAATAATCCTCAAACCAAAACAGCACTGCAAAATAAACAACAACAAAAATATGCTTACGTTACATTTGCCCCTTTTTCCGTCATACAAAAAGCGAATGAGCGCTGTTATAGTTTCTTCATTAGAGAGACAGTACTTTGAAAAAATAAAATTCTATGCTGTACTCACCCTCATGTCATTTCAAACCCATGTCATTTCTTTCTTCTTTGGAACGTAAAAGAGGATGTTTTTTTAGTAACAAAAATGTTTAGTTATTAACACTCTTCATAATATCTTTGTGATGATATATGATGACAAAATGTTCGTTTTGTATGAACTATATCCCTTTAATGTTTTCAGCTTTTTTCTTTTTACATAGAAATAGTTGTAGTTCTCATTTCTGTAGAAGTAAAACCAGAGGAAGCAAGTATTCAGTGTAGGTTGTGACGCACTCTTGATTTATATCCAGCAGCAGAGACAGTGGTTTTTATTTTATACTTTTTTTAATTTGTTGGTTATTTGGAGAAATGGGATAGTTAAAAATAGTTTTAGGATTTGCTAAATGTCCGGTTTGACTGGTATTATAAAAGATGGTTTTACTTCAGCCAACAACAAAAATAGCTATGAAAATTTCCCTTTTTTTTTGTTCTTAATTCATATGATTATCAGAGGCAGAGATTTTTCTTTTTTTTTTTTTACAGCACGAATATCTTTCAGATATGGTAAGAGTTTGCTTAAACTACGTAATCACATTTAATTACTATTTTAAGAAAAAAACTGATCCAGCATCTGGTTGTGAATATTGTTTAAATATACATTTCTGAATATAAATTTTTTAAGGTATACATTTTGTTTTATATTACTTGTGGTTTTATTTGTTCATATGATGTGTTTGCTTCATGAAACAATTCATTTGAATTTATTTAATAGATAAATTATAATAAAATAAGAACACAGTATTCAGGATTTGTTGGTTATTTAGAGAATTCCAAGTGTTTCCTAAATTTTAATATATATATATATATATATATATATATATATATATATATATATATAT